GACAGTACATATTTTACGGCTGCACAATTTCTCACAACTTCCTCACATGTGTTGCTCTTGTTGTCTTTGCACATTGTTGTTGTTTTTGACTTCCATTGCGCAATCAACACTTTCTGTCACTTGAGTACTTGAGTCGGTGCTAAGACTTCAGACTTAGTTTAAAAATGACAGGTTGATGGTCACACAAACGTGTGAATGTGTGCGTTATCACAACATCATATACCGTGCGAGTTTGTGTGTGAGAATGTGAGTGTGTGTTCTTCTTCGGTATTTCCTGTCTGACCCTCTAGGGAAACCATGGAAATGAGATGGGAACAGAATCACCAACACTTCATTTCCTGTGTGTTTGTGCAGGACTCCCTGCTCCCTGCAGGTGTCATTGAAAACATGGCTGCAACCACAGCCTGGGAGAAAATCACTGATTTAAACTGACAACCAACAGGAACTGCTGGTGCACTGCTGCCTCCTGTGGTCAGTTTGTGATATGGTAAAATGGTAAAGTCACAATTTGAACTTAGTGATGGGAAAGTGGAAAAAGTGCTCGGAGCTAAAATCCCAGATTTTCCCTCTAAAGTTTATGTGTGTGTGTGTGTTAGTGTGTGTGTGTCAGTGTGTGTCTTTATATAGGCAGCAGAGTCACTGATGATGTATCAAACATTTACAATCTGTAAGCATAAACCCCGCCTCCTGTAATGTGGGCGGGGCCTGTTGTGGTCCCAACTGTATGTGTCTCTGTGCTTGGTCCCCTACTCCTGCAGCAGGAGGAGGAGTTGGATGAGGAGGAGTCAGAGGATGAGGAGGCGTGGAGGCCAGCAGGACCAGCACAGCTGCTGTCAGTCAGCAGTGGCAGGAGGCCAATCAGGAGAGGAAGAAGCAGCAGCTCCTGCACCTGCAGCTTGGAGGCAGCAGTAGAAAACCGAACAGGAGGTTCTCCTCAAAGACACCTCAGACCCCGTCAGGGAAGACCAGTCAGGGACGTGAAGAAGCTCTCAGACCGAAGGAGAAGAGACGAGCCCGAAGGAGGAGGAGGAGGAGGCCACCGTCGTCGCTACCACCGCTGCCGTTAACAAGCGTCACCTCCACATGGATTTTAAGTCCAACCTCAAGGGGTTCAAGGCCCAGGGTCAAGGGGAGCGAAAAGTCACCTCCTCCCAGCAGGTGGACTTCCGTTCTGTCCTGGCTAAGAAGGGTGGAGCGACCAATGGCAGCAAAGAGCTGGACAGTCCAAAGGAGACCAACAGCGCCCCCAACACGAGCATCACTACTGACTTCAGGTCTGTCCTGGCCAACAAAAAGAAAGCAGCCGCTCCAGAAAAAACGGTGGTAAACAACTGTGTGGGCGGAGCCAAAAGCGGAGGAGCGGGAGGTGGAGACCAGCTGCCTGTGTTCACAGAGAAACTGAAAGACTTGATGGTTTTAGATGGACAACGGTTACAGCTGCAGTGTCACCTGAACAACAGCCATGATGTCACCATCACCTGGACCCTGGACGGGAAAACCATCAAACCTTCAAAGTTTATCGTCATCACCAATGAAGGTCAGAGCACGTCGCCTCTAGTTACAAAAAATTGAAGCAAAACCTCCGTATGAATCTTAGCACATGGAGCACAGGATTAACCTGAAGTCACGTGATCACAGATCTGAACTTTAACCTTTAACCAGAACATTGACAACAGATTTAGGCTTAACACTGAACCCAAACATTAACCCAAGGTCTGCTAACCTGAACCTTTAAACTAAAATCTTTATAATCCTTTAATCTTAATAGTCCTTTGATCTTAATAATCCTTTGATCTTAATAATCCTTTCATTTTAATAATCCTTTAATCTTAATAATCCTTTAATGTTAATAATCATTTAAATTTAATAATCCTTTAATCTTAATAGTCCTTTGATCTTAATAATCCTTTGATCTTAATAATCCTTTCATTTTAATAATCCTTTAATCTTAATAATCCTTAATCTTTATAATCCTTTAACTTTAATAATCCTTTAATCTTAATAGTCCTTTGATCTTAATAATCCTTTGATCTTAATAATCCTTTAATGTTAGTAATCATTTCAATTTCATAATCCTTTAATTTTAATAATCCTTTAATTTTGATAATCCTTTAATTTTAATAATCCTTTAATCTTTATAATCCTTTAATTTTAATAATCCTTTAATCTTAATAGTCCTTTGATCTTAATAATCCTTTGATCTTGATAATCCTTTGATCTTAATAATCCTTTGATCTTAATCATCCTTTGATCTTAA